GTGTGTGTGTGTGTGTGTGTGTGTGTGTGTGTGTGTGTGTGTGTGAGAGAGAGAGAGAGAGAGAGAGAGAGAGAGAGAGAGAGAGAGAGAGAGGAGAATCATTCCTTCTGATGCGTTACGGTGTAGAGAAAACAGAACCATTCAATCAGCAGCATCCACACACAAGAGAGAAATGGGCAGGCAGGCAGGCAGGCAGGCAGGCAGAACCCAAAGCTCTGTGCAAATGCAAAAGAACTTTTAATGACAAACAAGAGAGATCCCCCCAAACCAGTCCAATGGTAACTGAGTATGCCCAGTGGCTATGGAATACCAACTGTAAAAGGACAACAGGGGAACAGAGCAGTATTCTTGTTACAGGCATTAAACAGGAACATTTTATGACAGAGGCCCCCAACCTTTCTATACCCATGGGCACATTGGGGAGTTTGAGAAACTGCTGTGGGCACCACCACAAAGTGTCTAATCAACAGATCATGACTTCAGCATCTGACATCTGTGCCACTAGCAGTGTATTCTTCAGCAAAAACGTCTGGAGAACATCTCTTTGGAAAGGGATTGTTTGGCCCGGCTGATCACTGGTAGTGTAATACAGCTGATGCTTATCTCAAAGAATGTCCAATAGCTGCTTCTTTTGGGAAAGAGGTTATTACACAGATAACTTTTGTACTGCAGCAATCTTTAATATTCAGTGAACTACATGGTTTTAAAAATCATTTACCTGCTTCATGGAACTTAACAAATAGTCTACATCCATGAATTCTCTGTGCCCCTTTGACTGCTAAAAGGCTAATATTACAACAGTAAAAGGATAAACATTCTTATAATACAATGGTCTTACAATGCTTTTAATATTTTATTTTATTTTATTTTTTCAATTTATAACCTGCCTTTTTCCTACAAAGGGCTCAAGGCAGCTTACATCATTCTCCTCCTCCATCTTATCCCCACAACAACAACCCTGTGAGGTAGGTTGGGCTGAGAGTCTGTGACTGGTCCAAAGTGACCCAGTTGGCTCCATGGCTGAGCGGGAACTAGAACCCAGATCATCTGAGTCCCAGTCCCATGCTCTTAACCACTACACCACACTGACTGTGGTGAATGGGCTGTGCCTAGATGCCACCTTCACATGATTACTTCGCTGGATATTTGGTCCAATTTTGCTGAGCTTATGTATAACTGCTAGAAGGTTGTATGCATTTCGTATGTATTGATTGTTATGTATATATACAAATCCAGCTACATACATTCAAGCATGGAAAAAATAAAAAGTGCATACCTGCAAGGGCTACACTGGGACCCCTCTTCTACAACATTTTCTATCTTAGGCTGTTAATTCCCCGTATCTAATTTCGGTTTTGTTGCAGAACTGAGATCCAATCTCAAAACAAAAAACTAGTTATCTCTTCCTTTTTCACTACAAATCCTCTAGAGGGCACTGTGCTGGCGAGGAGTAACACAATTATATAAGAAAGAAAATACTTTTTCCTCCACATTCATAAATAAGATTTCATTTCCCCCACATTTTCCTAGCCTGGTACCCTACAGATGTGTTGAAGTACAAATCCCATAATCCTCATACAGCAGGCACTTTAGCAGGGATGGAAACTATAGTCCAACACTCACAGGGGAACAGCAACCTGGGGAAGGTTGTACGAAGGCATGAGTGGGGATCTGGTAGCCAATGGACCAGATGTGTTCCAGGAGGCTTCCACATGCGACCTGCACCCTCCCCTCATCTCAGTTTTCTCCCCATGCAGCAGCGAGCATGTATTTTTTTTAAAACATACAATAGTGCCAGAGGAGACCTTTAAAAAACCTGTGATGGAGAGAACTTGCAAGGGTTAGAGAAGGAAGCTAGAGAAGGAAGGATGCAATTTCCTTCTCTGCCCACTGCAATCCATGCCTGATAGTTGTTTGCACTCAAGGGAAATCACATCTTTTAATGTGATTTCCACTGGCACATACAAACGCATTTTAAAAATCTTAATTTCTGTGTGTAGAAGGAATTGTGGAGCAGAGGTGGAGGTAGCCAGAGAGGGAAGGCGTAATCCTTCACTATGCACTGTGACCCTCCCCAGGCAGCAATCATGCTTTGAAAAAAGCTGTGATTGGCACCGATGGGACTTTATTTCCAAATTGCTAAGCAAGGAGATAGTCAGGAAAGGGAGGCCACTGAAGTAGGAAGTTGAGGGAGGGCAGCTAAGAGAGGTGAAAAGAGAAAATATGCAGAGTTATGCACATGTGCGAGTAAGAGAGAGGAAAAGATAGGAATTAATCAGTGGTAGAGATTATTTTAGGATGGGATACTGTGAAATACAAACCTTTATCTAACTGAAATACTATGAAGTCCCTTACAGTAATCCTGTCTTTTGGTTCCTCCCCTCCTGCAAAGGGCTCAGCTGAGAACTGATGCAACTTCAGTCTGTGCTCAAACATCTTTCAAAAAGATACAGCGGGTGGACTTCTTCTTTGGCACTTCAGATTTGCTAGCCAAAAAATGCTCAGGCAGCGACTCTTCCGAATTTCCCAGAACTTGGTGTTTACTTCACGGATTGCCTCAGCGTTAATGAATACATCTTTGTGCTCTGGGATCTGAGGGAGCAAGTGATGCCCAGACAATGCTTGAAAGTTAACTTTTGCTGTTTGAGTCTGAATGCAGGCTTTTCCCAGGATTCTTCTTTTGTATACTTTGTTGTTGCTCTTTTGTCTCTGCATGGTTCATGATGAGGCCTGTATTGTAAATTTGCCCTGCCATCTTCACAGAATTTTAGGAAGCAATGATCAAATAACTGTGCAACTGAATTGGTAGCACTAGGAGCCTTCCATCTGGAATCAGACTTTGTTACCATGGATTATGTCTAAAATTATAAATTATTTAATTTATTAATAAATTAATTTATTCAATGTGATTAACTCCCCCACCCTCAGTTAACTGCCTCCAACCTCCATTATTTCACTAGGATTGTGTTATCTACTACTACTACTTAAAAATATAGTGCTTCTTTACTCATAACTATCCTGTTAAAAACAGGTTTTTAGTATAGGTTTGTGTGGGAGTATTTGGTTATATTTTGCAAACTGGTTTTCTGTATTGCCATCTCTCTGGACATTCTCATCCTGGGATCCTGTCTCTTCCTGCCCCATTGTTGAACTAGTCAGTTTTCCATTGAAGTGTTGTTTATGCATCCGTAGCTGGACTGTGTCTGTCAAAAATTTGATTTATTTCTGCAGTCCCTGAGATTCTGAACTGGCTCAGTGCCCCTGTTTCCACACAGAACCTTTGTCAGTGATTCCTTAGATCTCTGCAGCTGCCACGTCCTTTCCTTTGCTCCCCGAAAACATTTTTGTCCACCCATGCTTATGTTTGAACTAAAAGGGCCAAAAGTAGGACCGTGTATCTGTTAAGCACAGACCAGCACTCATACAAGATTTCTAAAATGACCTGCTTTTTCTGGAGAATCCTGGGATTGCTTTGACTGAGCCTTACCAAGACTTGCTACATCTGCTGGAAGGCACTGATTTTCTCAGCACTGTCTACCTGTGTTCCTGGCCCACCACCAATGTGAGGGCCAGGCGGAAGGAGTTACCATGCTCTGAAAGGATTCCATCTTAATATCCAGTATTCCTGTCCAGCAGAATGCAAGTTTTAAATATTCGTACCTGGTGTTATACACTAGCAATGCCAGGGCATTGTTTTAGGCTGCTGATCACACCACTTCCCAACTGTCCCCCTGCTTGTGCTGATGGAACGGTTGGCTTTTCTGAGAAAGCTCAGTATCCAGGCTGAGACTATCTTATGAGGAGCAGCTCAGATCTTTATGACCAGGGTACCAACCATACAGCTGTGCGCTTTTTTCCTTAGGTCAACACAGCTGGTGAGTCAATGATTGACCTGACATTTGTACCTGGTCGGTGAAGCGGTGGCATGGATGTGAGAGAATTTGCTATGTAACACAGGCAAGTTTATTAATAGCTCATTGACCTTCAGATTCGGAAAGAAAAAAACAGTGGGGGGTTTCCCTATACAATGTGTGGAAACCCCCCACAAAAAGCCCCCTAAGAATGCAGTTTTCATTATTAAAAACGTAAATGAGATTAAGAAAACAAAACTAGAATAACGAACCCTCTTAAGAATACAGGCTGTAGTTTGTGGACTATATCAGCCTTTCTCAATGGCCATCCTGGCTGGGGATGACAGGAGTTTTAGTTAAGCACATCTGGATGGCATTAGGTGAAGGAAGGCTGTGTTGTACAAACTCAGCAATTGGTTTGGCTAGATAAGATTGCTCTTCCATGCTTAAGGAGACTATGCACCACTTAAAAGATCTTCCTGGGAAGGGAGTAACCAATGGACAAGCAAATCTAGTTCTTTCATTTCTAGGAAGCATGTAGTACAGTTTGACTAGTACATGGCATGCACAGTTTCCATATGGAATGCTATGAAATCTTCCTTCCAAAATAACAGAAGGGGAAAAAATTGAAGTTTAAGTGGTACAAATGTTTTCCTGTTTTTTGGGACAAAGTAGTGGTGTTGACCTCATTGCAGAACCATTGAATGTAATGGAGATCAGATTTTCATGGCAGATGTTTATATTGCTCTGCAGTCAATATCTTTGTCCTTTTGTGGATAAATCAGGCATGTTGTACCCCAAAGGGATAAAAATAGAATGTGCCATAAGTTTTTTAAAAAAGTCTTCCAAGTTTAAAAAACAGATCATCTCCTAGGGAGGTTTGTGCACTCCATTCTTATCTCACTTTCCAGGTAATTATTTTCTTGCAAAGATTCTACCAATAAAAAAGAAATACAGAATGAGACCCAGTCATTTTACAAACTAAAATAATGAGAAATGAAAGGGAAATAGACTGGAGAAAAAATAAAGAGGAGTAAGATCAA